TAATGGGTGGATGTTGTTCTTATTAAGATCCTTCTCAATTGTAATTCCTTTAACATTTACTTCATTTAATTTTTTATGAAATTTTAAAATAAAAATTAATATAATCAATATTAAATATTCAAAAATAGTTCAAAGACATTGTAATAAAGTGAATTTCACTTCTTTCTTATCTTTTTCATTTTAACAAGATTTTTCATAGTTTAAATTTTTAAATAAGGAAAAAAAATACACTTTTACATAAGTTAAGAAATAAGCAATAAAAAAAAACTCAACACAATGAAAATTAATATTACTTACCTTTCTCGTATTGGTTTTTATGAAAATTTTTTTTCTTTTTTTACTTTCAAATATAGTATAACCTTAGTGTTAACACCATTAGTATGGGATAAATAATATTATAAATATAATTTATAAGTAAAAAAATATATAAAAAATTAATATTACAAATACAAATTTTTAGTGTAATACTTGTTTTGCTCTATCTACTTTAGCTTCCTTTTCTTTGATATTTAAAATGTTACCTAAATCTAGAATCACTATATTTAAAAAATCACTTTTGCAATTATTTCAGAATAACTTTCATATCACCTAACAATTCACTTTTGATACCTTACGCTTGCTCTTTTAATTTTACTTGCATTTCCTCTTGCATACCATCTTAACTTGAGCGTTTCTTTTTAACTTCATCAATTAGTTTTTGAAATTCAACACGAGACTCGATTTCTCATAAATTTGAAGGTATAACTCCTTTTTCATAGGTGCACACATAACTATGTCAATCTTTTTCTAAGACTTCTGAAAATACATCATCTTAGGCTGAGCTTTGCTCTAATGCATGTGGACGAAAAAAGTTATTGCATCTTCAAACTCAGCCTAAAAAATTAAAATTTAAAATTATATTAACAAACTTAAAAAATTATAAAAGTATAGAAGTTAGAAGAAATGATAGAAATGCTTATACCACACTTTTACTGATTTTTATTCATAGGATTGTAGGTCATAATAAACATTTCAACATGAAAAAATCATTATACAAAAATATAAAATTGGTTTAACAAAATAAATCATTAAACTTAAGAAAATAAATTATATTTTCTTACCTCTTCACATAATTTTGCAAAAGTTTTTAAACTTGTGGTGTTTATAATTGTAAACTTGGTTCTACTTGTTTTGTTCTTTCTACTACGTTCCTTCAAAATAAATGTTACCATGTAAGTAGAGGTAATATTATAATAGAAATATAAAAAAAAATAATCATGTTAAAAATGAAATAATTATATTACTTTAGCAATGTTGGATTCCAAAATTTAATAAGAATTTTTCATTGTTCAAGTGAAATAATGGGTGGTCAACTTTTTTATATTATAACCATCTGAAAATGAAACTTCGGTGGTTGATTTTAGTGGCTTCCAATGAAATACAAATTTAAAAATGAAGCAATTTATCTTTATGACATGCACGTAACTAGATTTAATTATCTCATTTTAAGGCATAAAGAAAAAATAAAATAAAAATTTAATGTGTTTTTATAATTGTAATATGATAAATATATTTTTTAAATATAAATTTACTATTTAATATGTTTATAGTGTCTAAGGTGATTTCGTTTGATTCAGCTAAGGCATTATTACTTACATACTATAATAATTCAACTAATTTTACTATTTCCATAAAAAAAAAAAGCATAGAAATCCTGAATGAATTTTGATTCCTCGTTGTACATGTGATAATATTTCATTAATCTATATTCAAGATGAAAGAACCAATTAAAAACACACATGAACAATTTCATTTAGATCATCTTCTCTTTACAACACTTCATGAGCCTTTGTTCTAATGTTTATAAAATATGGATCAAATTACTCATAAAAGGATTCCAATGCCTAGATGTTCTCCAAAATTAATAAACAAACATACACATACAAATACAAGAACTATAAAAATACAAATAAAGAAAGTTGAAGAGAGAATATGAATTACAAGGTGACTAGTTCATGTCATGAAAATACTCTTGGATTGTTTTTTAACTTGTATGTAGCATCGCAATGAAGTGAAAAAAAAAATCAAAATAATCAATAAACACAACAAAACAAAAAACACAGAACACAAAACATTGAATGCTAAATGGAACGAGATAGATCTCAAAATCCATGGAATACAAAAGACAGACTAGGAAAAATCTTTAAAACAAGTAACAAATTTTGATTGCAAAGAGAAGAAAATTTAAAAGAGATAAAACTCAAGTACCGATTTATTGAAGGATTTTGCATCAAAATTGGCTTTCGATTGCACTAGAGAAGAGTGTCAACGAGAACTCAAATCTGAACTTGAGAGAATATATTTGGAATTGCAATTGTTATGCAAAAAAATGCAAATTTAAGCTTAAGAAAAAAGATAAATAAAGTGTATTTGGGGAAATGTGAAAATTTTTGAAAAACTAAAGCTATTGAAATTGTTTAAAATCTTAATATAAAGTAACATTTTTTAGTAGTATATGTAGTAGTGGGGAAAAAAGGGTTGGCAGGTAAAATTGTGGAGTCTCTAGAAGAAATACTAAATATATAAATAAGTCTTTAGTGTTATTGAGTAATTGTCTATGTCTTTACTATTTTTTTTTATCAACTCTTTAAATTTTGCCACATAATTAACAAATTTTGTTGGCTATTAGGATTTCATTATCAATGTTATACTTAATGAAAAAATTAATTGTGGTTTTTGCATAATGCATATATCCATTTGGATTAAAACCAACTTATCTCACCTATATTTTGTAATTTAATATTTTTTATAATTAAATTGAATGCATAAATAAGTAAGAAGTGTTATTAGAATTTTGATACTATCTTTTAGATTTGTGAATTAGAAATAAAAGATTGGGTTTACAAGTTAATTTCTTTAAGTTTTCAATGTTAAAAATATTGTATCGTATATGGCCATTAATGATTTAATTTTGAATGAAATTATTTGCAATACCTAAAATTTATTTAAAAAATGTTTGACTTAATAATTACGACATAGTAACTTGAGACCTTGTGGATCAATTGGTTTGTTGTATAACGTAGTATGATATTATATACTAATATTATTGTTATTTTTATATTTATTATCTTGTTTAAAAATAAAAGAATTGCATGTGTGTGCTTTGTTGTGTTGTAGCTTCATAAATACATTAGAGAAGAACATAATATAATTGAGAGAGAAAAGAAAGGAAGAAATACATAAGATTGTAGTTTGCTTAAAGTGGTGGAGTGACTCAAACTCTATCTTTCTAATTCTTTTTTCATTTTAATTTTTGTTCTTCTCAGTGTTAATAAACCTTTATTTTATACTTCAATATATAGTTATAATGGTATGATTTGTTTAAAATAAATTTTCTTTTGCTTATGTATGAGAATCATGATTAAATATCAATACATTGAAGATTGAATGTTTGGAAAAAAATTTAAACTTTATTTTAACTATTTTTCTTGTCATCTTTTGATTTTTGAATTAACTTGTGATAAATTTAATAAATCTTATTGAATTTAAAGATGTCTGATGCTATATTTTTGTGGACGCTAAAGATAAGCAAAATAAAAATAAGAATAAGAATAATAAAAATAAAGTCAATATATTTAAGTTTATAATAAAATTTTTAGATAGTAATCCATATATAATTGAAATGCTTAGAAAGAATGAATCTATTATTGTGTAATAATAGAAAAATGTATACTTTACCAATGTTGTTAGTTCTTAGTAAAAAATATTTAGTCGTTAATTATAGTAAAAAAATTTAAAACACTTAAAAGTTGAGACAATGTGGCATTGCAACATAAATGTTAATTTTTTTTTTTTGGCTACAAATCTAGTATAATTAATAAATTTGAAATTTATTATAAATATTTTTAACATATACAAAATTTTATATCATTAAAGACAACTTTTTTATTTAATTTTAGCACATCTACAATGCAAATAAATTAATGTGTAGCACCTATGCATCTAATTATATCAATTAAGGTATGAGGCAAAAGGTTGATAGATGCTAAGTGTGCCTAAATTTGTTAGAGTCAAAATCATTATATAATGAAAATTGTAGTATAATATTTAATGGTTTGTGGTGTGACATGTCATGAATTCAATAAATGTATTTTATTTTGACTACATAAGAGTTTGGTCCATAATAAATAAGTAATTAAAGTATTTATTTAAAAAAATAAGAATAAAGAGATAGAGATATTTTGTAATTTTTTGTTTCAAAACTAAAAGGATAAAATGGTCTATAAATACAAGAAAAAAGGAAAGTAAAATAGAAAACAAAAACACTTATCAGAGATTCTACATAGTTAAATAGTAAAAATAATTTGAATTAGATGAAGTAGAATAGTTTAATCACCCCTACCTTGTTATCAAAATGCACTTCAACTTCTTTCTCTTTCATTTGATTTTATGTTCAATTTAGGAGATCATAAAGTATGCTTTTTTCTAAGAGATCAATAAAAGAAATAAATAAGTGTCGTGAAATAATAAGTTATGAAAGTTTAATAGTGAAATAAATTAAACTTTATTTTTAAATAAAGAGAGAGAAGAGGAGGAGGGCCACACTTTTCACTATCACTATCATCCAAACTATCAATAAGAATGAAGAAATTACTATACATTTAGAAACAATTAAACTTGTTTCACAATAAAAAATAGAGTTAATATACCATTATTGAATATTTTTGTCTTTTCTTAAACTCATAACGTATATTTCTCTAAAAAAATGACATATAAAAGATTTTAAAATCAAGGAAAATTAAAAAAACTAATAATTACAATAATTTTTCTACAAAATTTAAAAAACTAATAAAAAGGTGAATTTTATAAATTTTTTTATTAGAGATAATTTTAATATTTTAACATACAATAAATTATAATAGTTGGCAAATTGATAATACTCCTATAATTTTGGTAAAGTTAATTGACAAATAATATTAAAAAAATAAAAATAGGGTACAAGATGACACATTTGAAGATCTTCAATAATTTGCAACATCGAACCCAAACAAGTTCTCATGGCCACCTTGATTATCAGCATTAGAGTTATTGTTACTGTTATTCCCTTCATCACTGTTGTTAGTAACCTTGGCCTTGTGAATCTCAGGATTCTTGAAAATAGTAGCCACAACAATAACTTCATTGGCGGCCACAACCTTGCCCCCAACAATCCCAATAAAGTTTTGACCTGAACTCTCTGAAAGTGAAATCTTAAAAGAACAAAGAGGGTTAGGATCTGAAGAAGATGATGAAAATGAAGAATCACCAATAGAGGTATTATTCATGTAGGTGCCAGTGAGGGACATCAAAGTGAAAGGTCCATGAAGAGTAAAAGCAGGAGTATTTGAGAAAGAATGACAAAGAGTAACATTGGAAACAATTCCTGAAGCACTTAACACCGTGATGTTTACTTGGTGGCGCTGGGCATATTGGATCACAGCACCAACCACATCAAAGCCTATAGGAACCTCAATGATGATAGGTTTCATCTCTTGGTCAGTGTCTGGGTTGAACATAAGGGAAAATTTTGGCTTGTTCTTAGAGCCTAAAGGCCTTCCACGTGACCTCTTTGATGGTGGAGTTACCGGTTGTCGTGGGTCAATGGTAGAAGGTGGTTGTTGTTGGTGAGAGGAAGAGTGAATGGTGGTATGAGGAGTGTGTTTCATGGAGGAATCAGAGTTGGGAGGAAAGGAAATTGTGACGCCATGTTCATCCATTGCTAAAGGTGAGAAATGAAAGGTGTGTGTGAGAATTGAGATGGGGGAAAGGCAATTATTATATAGTATAGAAGGGAGTTAGCAAGATTTATGATTCAAGTTATGAGAGTAAAATATTTTTGTATTTTATCAAAAGTTTGTTACAAGTGGCATCCATTCAGCTTAAAAAATGAGGAATCAAGTAAATAAGAAGCAAGTAATTTCTTTTTTATTTTATTTTAAAAAATTTATTATCACCAAAATAATAATTTTTTAATATATTAATGTATACAAATTATGTTTAAGTAAAAAGAAAATGAGATAAATTGAGTATTTTATGAATATAGGGTGTCTTTATAATAATAATAATAATAACAATAATAATAATAATAATAATAATAATAATATTTTTTCTTTACTATAATTAAAGGTTGAAATTAGTCAAATAATATTAAAATATATTTTAATTTTTTCTTTTATTTATTAAAATTTTTTAAAATAAAATTTTAAATTATGTATTCAAGTACATGTAATTATAAAATACTTAATGCAAAGTAATAAAATTTATAACACATTAATTTATGTCAACATAATTTTTATTAGGTAAAATTATTATTAGGCGGATTGGAAATAAAACTTAATGACTCACATTGAGTCTCATATGTATTTTATTCAATAGTAAAAATTGTGTTAAATTTTTTTATTAAAATTTATAATTTTATTATTTTTATAATAATTAAAAATATATGATAAGAAAATAAAAATATAACTTTTTATTATTTTTTATGTAGTTTATGCATTAATTAATATTTATCATAATTTTGTTACAAAAATAATTATGAAAAGTTATAATTTATACTAATTTATAAATTTATTAAAAGTCATAAAAAAGTATGTAAGTCTCACCTTTAGTTTATACTTTTATAACTTTTAATAAATTTTAATTAATAATTAATAGGGTGCTAACGATAGCATTCCTCTATAGTCCATCAGGACTTTTTTTTTAAAAATTTATATGGTTAAAAGATTCTTCTCAATAAAAAATTATGAAATTTTTATTATAAAAAAACTAATATTTTTTTTTTGCAATGGAAAACATCCAACCCAAACAAATAACTAGATTAGTGAAGGAATAAATGAATTTTTTTTATCTTTTTTAATATTTAATGATTAATTATCATAGAACTTGTTTTCAAAATAATCTACAAATAATAGACATTATTAATATTATTATTATCACTATAAAAATGTATATAAACAATGTTTTTATACTATAAATAACATATAAGTAGAAAGTAATTAAAAGTATAAAGAAACTAAATGTACAAAACATTGGTATCTCTTATTTTTAGTTTGAGTGACACATTTTTCAATTGATAGTTATAACTATTAATATTTACTTTAGGAGTCTTATTTTTTGTGATTTTATTTATTCCTTTGTTGGAGATGTTTACAAGTATAATTTATTACTTTTTAAATATATTACTAGATATATTTTGAATTAAAATTATGAGATTAAAATTTTAAATTAATTGCATTGAAAATCTGTTGGTCTTTTTTTAAACCATTGATTATAAAATTCAAATTTTGAATATTATAAGTAAAGATCATTGTCAAACTATAATAATAAAAAATATTAAATATTTGAATATTACTTATTTATTGTGCAATTTTATATAAAATTAATGCTCGTATTAAATTTTACTTACACAAAATTAGAAAACAACATTTAATACACAATTTTTATTAAAAGAATATCTTTTTTAATGAATGACTATTTGTATGCATTAATTATGCTACAAAATAATAAACATTAAATGCACTGGAGAGATTATTTTTCTTAGATTAATAGTTATTTTAATTAATAGTTTAAACTATTCAACAACATTAATGACTTGTGATAACTTTTATTGTTGTGTCTTGTTTATTACTTTAAAAAAAAAAATCCTAACTAAGCATTTTGTTCATAAATAAATAAGTTTATTTTAATTATTGTTAGTGTAATATCTCAAATTTTGTAATATAGTTGATTATTAATATAAGTATTTGCATTGACTTTTCTAAGTAGTGTATTTATAATTGTAGATGATTGGATGATTGGGATTTGACTGGATTTTGCCTAAGTGTTCTGGTGTAGAGTGTTCTCGCTACAGCGAGAAATATTTCGCTGTAGCGAGAGGGCCCTAGGAGGAAGGCGTGAAATTGTCACCTTATCGCTGTAGCGAAAGTATCTCGTTGTAGTGACAGTGTCTCGTTGTAGCAACAAAGCAACAGTTTGGGGTGCATTTCTGGGTGCAGTCTCGCTGTAGCGAGATTTTGTAGAAATCAGAATGCAGTTTTGTCTGAGTTTTTTGCTGTAGCGAGAGAGGATGTTGCTGCAACGAGATCCAATATCTTGCTGTAGCGAGAGTGTCGCGACCAGAGAGGATTAAAAGGGGGTTAGGGTTCGAAAAAGGTTATTTCTCACCTTCCCTTCGCAATTTCTTCAATTCTCTCCACCCATAACCCTATTCCACCGATTAAATTGCCTCCAAAGCCATTCAGAAGCTAGATTGAAGGTTGGATTCGTGTTGGGAATGCTTGAAAGTGAGTTTTAATAGTTAGGGTTTTGGTTTTTCACTCCCTTTTCCCTGTTTTTGTGATTTTCCTAGGTTCTCATGGAATTCTTCTGTGTATTTAGGATGAAATCCATGTGGGTCAATTTGCGTGTGGGTCTTCATTAGAGGTAAGAGGGACTCTACCTTATCTCATTTTACTTGAAAATCCATTTATTTGCTATGATTTTGTAAGGTGACTGAGATAGAGAGTAAGAATGAGTGTGTTTATGGAAGTTATTGTGTGTTTGGATGTAATGTGAGTTGATTGTGATTGGGTTGACGTACCCTTGATTGAAGTGTGTGTGATTATATCTTTGATTGATGATTGAATAATGTAAGTAGTTGGAAATGGGTATGGATGACATGATGAATGTAGGTAAATGGGGAAAATGTAGCGTAATGGAATAGGGACATATGTGCCGAGTGTTGTAAATAAAAATGGACCTCTGTGCTGTATAATATGATTTGAATGTGGGCCTGAACGCCGTATAATACGAATGAATGTTCGCCTAAGTGTCGTGTGATGTAAATGAATGTAGGCTATGTGTCGTGTATTATGAATGAACATGGGTTGTGTGTCGTGTGCAAGCATAAATATTGTGTGTATGAAAGAGGCGTGTTAAATGTCATTGTAATTAGGCTATGTATGATTCAGAGATACACTGAAGGTGTGGAAGATGAGGATGGTAGAAATACTTTGGGGAAGAAAGAGTGGTGGTGACACCAACAGTGAGGGTAAGTGCACCACAGGCCACACACTCTCCTCCTGACTAGACCTCTGACCAGTACCTTTGTTGAACGACCCATGGCTGCCCACGTGATATCCGTAAAGCAGGGGTAACTGGCGACTATTCATGGTAAAAATCTGTGATTAAAGTGTCACAGTGAGCGTGGCTGCGTGCAGTGAGCGCGCATGTGTATGAATGTTTTGGTACAATAAGTGCATCGATTATGAATGGAAATAATATGCGTAATAATATTGTTTGTGATTATATTGTGTGAAGTGTATTAGAAATAATGTGAATTATGTGCAAGATAAGACTCTATGCTTGTTTGTGTGTTTGGTATTGTAGAGTACTCACTCTTATATTCATTTTTTAGGTAATCAAGACGATTAACACTGTACTCAGTGAAGGGTTAAATGGAACTGTTATAGGATTTAGAATGTTATTTTGAGATTGTTGTATTTGAAATGGTCCTGTAACAGTTATTTGATATAAACTTGTAACTCTTTTCCTATTTTGAAATATTTCAGAAAACTTTTATTATTCTAAATTTGTAAAAGTATTATTTATTTGAAATTAAATTTAAGGCGTTACAGTTAGTGTACATGTTCCCACCAATATATAGAGTTGTGTCATTGTAAAAGACATTAAAGAAAAAAATTGTATTATGATACTATGTTTGACTATTCTTTCAAGTTTTGAAAGACATAAAAAAATAAAAATATTAAAAACAAGAGAGAGAACATTAAAAATAATTATGATTCATGTAAAATTTTTAAGAAAAAAAAAAGTGGTATTATAAAACTTTGTTAAAGTGTTGAAAAAAGTTAATAGTTTAATAGTAGGTTAGCAACATGATAATTTGCTTCGAGCCACTAGATCATATTGTATATTTTTAGTTATTTTATTATTTTTATACATTTTATTTTGGAATATATTAAATATTTTCAAAATTTATTCATAAATTACTTATAAAAAATAATCTTAAAATATATTTACTATTTTTTAAAAGTTTAATTCTAAAAGTGATTTATAAATCATCTTTCAAAAATAAATAAATAAAAGGTTTTATATACCCTGAAATCAAAATTCAAGATTTTGGAAAAAAAAGTGAAGTAAAAGGTAATTCCCTCCAATTAAGATTATTGTCCAAACAGAGCGGATCTAGCGTTAGACTCAGGAAAAGTTGACCTTCTGAGACTGGGCCTTGTGAAACTGGGCCTCATGGGTTGGACAATATAAGCTATGAACAAAATTTCTATTGCTTTTGCAACACTTGCTTTCAATTTTTAATTTGGGCCTAAGCATTTAACTAGGCCTGTTTTGGGTGACATAATAAAACAAAAATAGATGGTAGTCATAAAACAAAAAGTAATAATAAATTAGTAATGTGTGTTTAATATAACAGAAATAGATGTGTATTAGAGTATCTATATTCATTTACCTACACTTTATATGTGTGTTTAATATTCAATTTAGATTTTTTCTTTATATTTTTGTTTCTTTTTTAATTAGTTTGTTTCTTATTTTTGTTTTTTATTATCCAATTAGATAAATTTATCAATAAATATTTATTAAAATAAATATTTTTTTCAAAAGTTAAGTTAATTTTAAAAATTAAATAAAATAATTTATATAAAAGATGACCCCCCCTGTTTAAGGTGTTTGTGGCTATCTCTCTGAAAAACATAACTTAAGAATTTAAATGAAATCATTCATGTTATGTTCATTATGCATTGCTATATCTTAGCCACCAAGGGATTGAGTATTCTTACAAGGTGACTTAAGAATAATTTTTTTATTAATAAGATAATTTATTAAAATTATTATAATTTTATTTTTCAAATTTTTTGTGATGTAAAATTACCTATAAAATTATTTTAATTAATTTTATTCAATTTTTTTAATATATAATAAAATTAATCTGTGTAATCTTTGTTGATACATTATTGATGTTAAGTAAATTTTTATTAATTTTTATTTTTATTAATTATTATTTATAAATATTATTTGTAGAACTAATATAAAATTATTAGTCATTTAAATTATTTTAATTTAAAATTAATATAATTTTAATTTTAAAAATATATTAATATTAAACACTTATATTTTTTTAATAATTTTTTATAAAATATAAGATTAACTAATCCAATAATTAAATTATTTTATATTATCTTTATGTATATCACACTTCTCATAATTTAGATATTTGTATATTATTTAAATTTTGATATTTTATAAATGTCTCTTAAAAATTAGTTTTCTTTCTCATTTTCTATATAAAATATTTATTTTAATTCAATAGTAATTTAAATTCAAATTTTCATAATTTATTTCAAATTTTTATTTTATTTAATATAATAAAATATTTATTATTTTTTAAATAATTAAATGATATATTTTAAATTATTTATTTAAAAAATTATTTTAATTTAATAATACTGGTGTATTACACAACTAAATCACCTGTCCTCGCTTTTTTGAAAATACGAAGTCAAAGGTTCAAGGATTGGACTGTTAGGAATTTAGGTAGCTTCCATGAGATAACCATAAATCATTAACGTGGCCTTTGTAAACATGTAATAAAAAAATTAAAATAAATAAATCAATTAAATCAAAATAAGTCTTAAAAAGCAACAAAATTCCCTTGATTTAATCCCAAGTAATTTTTTTTTTAAAGAAAGGGTGGAACATTATAAAACATTTTTTTTATTAGACTAGAAATATTTTTTATACAAAATAATTTTATTCAAATTAAATAAGACTATTATTAACAATAAAATTTTCTCTAAATATTTAATAAATTATAATATAAATAACTTTGAGTTCCTTTTAAAACTAATTTCATTCCTTTTCTTAACAAGGGTATTGAAGGTTCAAATATTTTGATAATTGTCTTAATAATTAAGCTTTCAAGAATTTCAACATCAACACTTCCAATAAGTCTTAATAATTAGGCGCCGATATCCGTTGAGTTAGAAATTTGCTGTCTCCTCCAATTTACTAAGCTACTTAAACTTTAGCATACACTATTCCCATACCAAATTTTCAACCTTCTTTTGATATAATTAGCTTAATTAACATTAAATACATATTCATATCAACAAAGATTATGTATAAAACACATTATTACTTGGGTCTAATTATCAATCATGTTATTTTAGCTGGATTTGAACGATACTTATCACAAAATCTCAATCATTTTTTTTCTCTTAAAGTTTATATTAACTCACATGTTTAACAATTGTCATTATATTTTTCTAATGATTTAGATGTAATAAGTCACTGAGATTAGACTAGTGATGAGAAGTTCAAATAATTTAGATGAGATCACTGTGTTAAAAAAAAGGGGCATGGTAGTTTTCAAATCCTGGTACTGTAGGTAACTGCACCTAATTGGTACCTCAATTGCTTATTGGACACACCTCATACTATTATTATGAAATTAAAGATTATGATTGCATAAATAACATTTCTCTAATTAGTAAGAGTTAATCATCAGTTAATGAGATCAAAGTTCAACAATAAAGTCTAAAACAATTTTTCGTCCCCTCAAACTTTATTTTACCAAATTAAAAAAAATGTATAAAATTGATTTTTTTCTAGCGTATTGTTAAAAATATACATAATTAAATTTTAAATAATGCTGAATTAAGTATTTTTTTAAAATATAATTTTTACTTTTTTCATAAATTATTATTTTTAATTTTTAACTGATTAATTTGTTCAGATACTATCAAGTGTCAAATTTTAATTAAATAATATTAATTAAAAAATTTAAATAATAATTCATGAAAAAGTAAAAATTAGATTATTATAAATTATTTTGTAAAGATTAAGTCTAAAATATTCAATTTTTGTAGGATTAAATACTTGATTATGTTTTTAAAATAATATATTTGTTAACTTTTTAAAATTATTAAAAAAATTACATAACTAAATTTTTTGTATAATAATTTTTTTATAAAATTTTATTAGCTAAAATATATATTTTGTCTTATAATTAACAATTATTTACAAATTAATTAATTAATATTAAAAATTTTACATTTTAATTTTATACAAATCATATATCATGTTTTGATCTCTATTACTATGATATCACTGTTAAAATAAATAATAAGAATGAATTACTAATAATATTTTAATAATAGTGATAAAAATATAAAAAAATTCATTTAAAAATTAAAATGTAAGTATTTTTAGATATAGAAATTAATTCAGAATAGAGAGTAAATATATATTTTAATCAAATTTACTTCTATTTAACATTAAAAAAATTCCAATAAGGAAATAGCATTTCATTAATTAAATCAATATGGAGGTGGGTCTTCGGATTCCCCATTTTGGGCTTCCTTTTCCTTCCCCTCTTTTTGTTAAGTACATTTGGTTCACTCCTTTCAGAATCTGTTGCACAATGTGTTGACAAAATTAGTGTAAACCTGCCCCACCACCCACCCGAACTAACATCAAATATACAAATTTCTGCTCTAATTTCTCAATCTTTGATCATCACATGGGACCCATATTTTAGACTCTCTAGATTAAATTATAGTTCACAGCATCAATTTTAGAATTTGCAAAAAAATATTTAGTAAAATGATTTATGTACACCTCAAAATGGGGTGGTAAATAAGTGAGGCAGAGAAAAACAGAAAAAAAAATTAAAAAAAATGTAATGGATGATGTGATAGAGATAAAGCAAATGTTGAAATATAAAATTAAAGAATTAATAGCATATGGCATTATCAGATTGGTTAAGGGTTACACCAAGGTTTTCACTAGAACAAGGTGTGCCAATCATTACAAAATAAAGCATTGAAACCCTTCTCAGTAGTGTTTTCAAATGCATCCAATAGAACTTTCAAAAAGCAGGTAAGATTTTTGTAGCTATATACATGACTTGAGGATGGTGATGCCAGCCTCAAACAAAAAGGAGATTGGGACATGTTGAACAGATTCTTTGATGAGCTAGCATGCATGCTAATTTGGTCTTTAAAACACTAACATGCTTTCTAGAAAACAACTTCACTCTAGCCTCACCAAAGTCACTTTGTGCTGAGTATTGCAAACCTTATCAAAGCCTTTCAATTCACTCTAAATCTCCGTTAATTATGCTTGAAGCAAAATAATTAAATTTAACTTCAACTCTAAACTTTTATTAGTTAAGGTCTTCTTCACACTGATTAAAGAATCAATAAATACAAAAATATTAGAAGTACTTTAGGAATCATAGTGAAGTGAATTAATAATACTTCACAATAAAAGAAATTCACTTTTAATTCTTAAACAAAAAACACTATTAGCATTTATGTATTAGCTATTACAATATGACAACCGACAATTTCTTGCAATTTACTTCAGTCCAACAGTTTAATATTGCTATCATGACAAACATACAGTATGAATGTGCTAAAGTTTACTACATAGTGCAAAAACACAGCTCAAAATGCTCCATGATTTCATTAGCATAGGAAATTGACAAAAGCATTCCCATGACTACATTACAGAGAAAGATATACATAGTCATGAAAGTATCTTTTTCGGCTACAATGGTGCATTAAAATGGACGATTGTTTCCATCAACAAAAGGGGAGGTTAAACAACACATGATTAACTAAAATCTATCATAAACATCACCAAATAAACTGAGTTACCACATGTTACAATAAACTAAACTCTCATCATGTCTTCATACATCAAAACTATTGTCATGTGCTGATGCATCAAGAGGTAACTAGAAGAATGCACGGCTACCATAAAACACACGTGATCCATCCTTTTTCTTGTTATCAATTTCCAACTTGCTATTGTTATTATTTTGAATCACATCACCATGACCTTCACTCTCAGGTTTGTCAAGGTCCATTGGGAGCTTCATTTTTGCCAAAGACTCGGTGAATTGTTGCATGCTTCTCATATACATGTCAACTATTTGCTGCTGCATAGCTGATTGTTCAGCCTCCATATTCATGTTCCCTAGTGGAGCAGAAAAAACTTGACTAACTTTTGCAGCTTCTATCTCACTATTGATCTTCTTTTCCTTGCTTGATGAGAAATTTGACTCCTTCTCATCTCTGGGTTCACTTTCTTTCTTGGAAGTAGGGGTATCTGGAGAAGCACCATTGTTCTGATTGCTTTCAACTGTGATTGAAACATTGAAAGAATTCGATGAGTCACCACCCAAGTTACCCTTTTTCTCAACCGAATCAGATGAGTTTCTATCATCACTTAAGGTTGTAGTGGTAGAGCTTGGAAACACAGAATTATGAATGCTCTCATTTGGAGAAGTGGACTCATGATTCTCATCTGGTGAAGTCATAGTCATTTCACAATCATCACCATGAGGAGAAACACCAAGGTGAAGAAATGGTAGCAATGCTACTGAATTAGGCCTTAAAGCAGAAGAACCATAAGACTCCAAATTGAAGTACTCAGAAACCATTTTCTGGTTCTCCTTCATCACATTAATATCAGGAAATTCAACTCTAGAATACTCAACTGGATCTAACATAACTTGTGAATTTTTTGGATCAAGCAAAACAACTTCTGAAGATATAGATGAGTTAATAGTAGTTGATGTGGATATAGGACTCACAGTGGAACTAATTGGAAAAGATGTGTCCAAAGAAAGAGTTAATTGGACAGTTCCAGCAGGAGAATGGAAGAGATCAGTGGAGGAAAGGCTATAATCTTCAGTCAGCTTTCCTTTGCCAACAACTTGTGAAGTTTGGACCAAAGCAAATCCCAAAAGCTGGTCTTCCAAGTGATTTCTTGACCTGCTAAACATCCAAATCTCACACTTTAGAACAGCATCCATCTGGGTTATCTTCATCCTCAAGTTTTCGTTAAATATTGGATTTTTTCCACCTCCATTGATGATTCTGGTGGAGAGAGTCTCATCAGGATTGTATGTAAGAGAGAACTTAGCATACACATCCTGATTATCATAGATGCAAATGTTATGAATATTCTTAGCATGATGAACATAGATATCAAGAATCCCTGAGAACTCAGCATCATCATCTGCATGATTCATTGTGCTGGAATTTGGATTGTACCTAAAACTTGTACCTTGATGACTCTGATTGAATGAATCCATTCTACCTGATGTTAACACTTGAAACTATGTTCGACAACTTGCAAAAAGGTCTCAAGAATAAAGAAACTATAACACAAGCAAAGTTGGAGATAGTTGTTTAGTTCATCAATGGTCATGCAATGAGGCTACTTATCCAATTTCCAACTACCCTTTTGCATATATGAGCCATCAAAACACTGATTTCATTTGAATAACAAGCTTAAAATCAGTGGAAAGTTGTAAAGAAAGAGAACATGTAAAGGGTTATTAAACAACTTGAACAGAGTTTTCTCGACTAGTTGAGCAACTACTAAAAGAGAGTTGGAAAACCTGGTTCTAAATATACACTAGATGATGATGATCTTGAAGGTTGAAGATGTTTGTCAGATAAATCCTAGAATTCAGACATAAACATGGAAAGAAAGGTGTATGTAAGTGTGTGAGTGAGAGAGAGAGAGAGAGAGAGAGAGAAGGAACAATGAAGCGTGTTGTTTGTTTTGATTGAAATGGAGGAGTGGTTAAGGAGCTTGTTGTGGTGTGGTAGTAGGTGAAAAAAATGAAGGATGAAGCATGAAAAAGAACAGGGAAGATGATGATGACGTAATGGGTTGGTTGGATATCACTTTTTTCTTTGATTGCTCTTTCTTTTGGGTGGGGAGAGGGGTAGATCTTTTTATTTTTGAAGTTTTTTTTTTTTTATTTTTGCGTTGCTTGACAATGCAACTTCCAATTTCAGTGACTCACTTGCTCCACTCACTAAGGGGTAATGGTATTGGAGGACCCACTTAGACCCGTTAGTCCAATTTGCATGATGAAAACGTAGAAAAATCTGTACTCATTGCTTCTATAAAATGTAGTAGAATTTTTCTTGTTTCCCTTTATAAAATAGTGTGCTTAAATAAAACTAGAATAGAGATTGAAGAGTGTCACTTATGGTGGAGTTTACCAAAGAGAGCTACAATACAAAGAACCGTTGGAGTAACTCCAAGGCCTTTAAAAACCAGCTAAGGAAAAGCACTGCATAGCATAACTCTGCAATCATCATCAGTCATCATATCTATTGATCAAGTTATTCAAAGTAATAAAAAAATCCATCTTCTAAGTTCTTGTTCTTGTTCTTGGTGTAGAATTCAACATGTTGGACTAGCTTGAGCCACGTTGAATTTGAACAACCTAGATGAATTCAACATGTTTCAAATCAATTAAATTTTAAAAATATTAATAGTCAATTTTATTTCAAAATGTTGATACCCACATTTTAGTATAGCATACTAGTCAATATTCAACACACTTATTATCTACTACTATGAAATAGTGAGTATTTTTCTCCCATTTTCTTGTATGTTTAATGTTGATACACACGTAACATCATTCATTACGGGTGAGAGTATGTTCGGCTATGACTTCATCCATATTAGAATTGACTTAGCTTAATCTGACTCGCATTAAATTTGAAATAAAAATAAACTATTTTAGTAAGTACTTTTAAAAGCTTATTTTATATATATATAAAGTAATAAAATTATTTTAACTGTTATAAGAGTACAGAAATACTATTTTAAGTTGGTGTATAAATTATTTGATTTAATTTTAAATTAAATATTTTGATCTGATACCACAAAAGAAGGCTCAATACTCTGTTAGTATTTTTATGTTGCTCACAGTTGAATAGCTAAGTGGGGTCAAAGGTCGTCATGTTCTAAAGTCCATTATGCAACTTATACTTGAATATTTAACGCTCTAAGCATCCTCATCATAGGAAATCAAAGTAAAGGTTCACTTGTATTATCATATGACACAAAATCTTTTACGGTTATGTCATGTTGGCATATCTTGTAGCCATATTCCCTGCCTCCTGCACATCTAAAGTCCTGTATAACCAATAAAATATCACCACATCAAATATATGATTTACTCTTATTATTATTTCGCTTTTTAACATTAATAAAATAAAATATTCTTTTATGAGCATTTATCAGTCACAATTTAAACTATATTTTTTTCATTAATCTCGTCAACAACGTTATCAAGCATTTTAAAGATTTTATCATTTATTTTTTCTATATGAAATGCATCAATGAACTTTAAAAAACTAAATTTTTGTATGAATTTTTACTAAAAGTTCAATATTGTTGTCCTCTTATCAATCCACCCATCAATCATTAATATGTATCAAACAATATTTCATTCAACTCCATGTTCTTCTAACTTTTTCGTTGTCAATTCTATTTCTTTCTACAAATACTTTACTCTAATCTCATGATAGCTTGATGGTTTAAATCTAAGACCATGACTAGCAATTAAATCATACATAACAAAAAATTCATCACTTCTTACCACATTGAATGATATGACATTATTATGAAAGAAATATTTTAATTGCTTGACAAGCCTCCTCTCTTTTACTCTTATTGAATATGCTCTTGATTTTTGCTTGGGTAGTTGCACCCTTTGAAAAATATTTTTTCCTCCAAACATCTTATTCTCACTTGATTTTCTTTTATTTTCACTCCTTATATTTTAAGTCTTTCTCTCAATCTCCTAGTTTCGAATTTGATTTTTTATTCAACTTTTCTTGCGTGCTTACGAGTATGTTCCACATATCCTTTCTCACATCATCCGAAACAGATTTACATGCTCTAACATCTTTGTTTGTTTGAGCCAAGTGATGCTTCAACCGATAAGCATCTCCATTTACTATTTTTTGACAATATTTGCATTAGATTCTTCTTGTACCTTCAATTGCAATTCAATGTTATCATGCTACATCACTCTTGTTTCCTAGTGTATTCTTTGGTAATAACTTAGAAGGAAGAGTATGACTACTAGTTGAAGTTATTTTATTAAATAGTAAAGTACAAACCCACCCACAATCACGCAAAGATGATGAAGATTAAAAGAAAAAACAGAGCAGAGAAAATCTCAATCACAAAGCAGACTCTAGTCGCAAAAATAATCTCAGTTGCCGGAGCAAAACTTAGTCATTAGAACAAAGCACAATTATCAAAGCAAAGCAAAACTATGTTATGTGGACTGGAATGAAGTCACAAAGCAAAGGAAGGACAAAAATTCTTATTTGATTTTTGGAATTTTAGAGTTTTAATAGTTTTTTTAGCAAATCAGTTCGCAATTGGGTCGTGGGTCATTAGGGCAAAAAATCGAGTTTTTTAGTGCGCTGAGATCATTCGAGCTTACCGATTTTACAGTCCAGCTCGACGATTCCACCCAATCTTGGTGGTTTGCATTTTTGAGAGCGAGTTAGCACAGAAGGGTGGTCGGGGATCATACAATTGTACATTTTTACATTTCGGCATATGATTTTGACTATTATGCTAATTAGTGTCATATCATAATCGAATATTGGGACCATTTGACAACAAAAACTAGTTTACCTAAAAAATAGTTCCATCCTCAAATTTGAAGCAATTATTATATTATAATGACTGCTTTTTAAAATTTGAGTATCTTATATAATAAAAAAAATATTATATACAATACAATATTCACTCCAACAAACTAAACAAAAAATAAATAAAAAATGTACCAAAATATTGCTTAATATTTTCTTCATATTCAAAATAAAATTTAAATAAATACGTTATAACAAAATTAAACTTATTAACTACATCACAAAATAAATTTTAAAAAATTAGAATTTAATTTATATAACAAAGTGCTTGCAAAGTTGCAAAACTAAAATATATCAAAAGTAAACCATGCATCAAACAACATATTAAAATATTTTAACTTAATGTATAGTCTCGTTAAAATAAATAAATAATTATTACAATATGAAATTAAACTCAAACTCAAAATTATTTAACACTCACTAAATTTAAATTTATTTACATTCACTAAGTTACAATTTAAATATTTGCTCACATGAAACTAGACTTATTTAATTTATTGCAAAAAATAGTAAATTACATAAGGAAAAAAAGTACAATTTAAAACACTAATAGTTGTATAACAAACAATTGATTAAATATATAATAGACATGATAGGTTATATATACAATTAATTAAATATACAAATATAATAATTAATGTTTAAAAAATCTTTCTAAACATACTATTAGAGAATTAATAACATAATAAATTAAATAAATAAATAAAGTACATTAAAATAATTTTAAAAAATAAATTACCTACATAGAGAGTTTACTTATAATATGACTAACAAAATTAAGTCAATATAAATTATTATTCATCTTCATAGTAACTACTCTGAACCACCTTCTTCCTTGCCTCAAAGTATCTTTCCTCATCTCCTCCCTTCTTCCTCTCATGTTCACTTAAGCCTCACCTTAAATAGCGGCATAAGTTGATTCGAGTTAACTTTAGAACCCAGCTAAAGTATAGCAAGTGGCAACAAAGTCAATTATAATCAATATTAATGATGAGTGAACGAAAGTTAAATAAAATTAATTTTTTATTTGTGCAAAAATTGACTAAAATTAACTTTTATAAAACCTAAATTAGGATATTTATATAAACTTATTCACTTTGGCACATATATGTAATATGTTATTTAATTTATTTTATTTATGTAAAAAAACCTTATTATTATACTTTTATAAATACTAGCATTATAGTGCTTTTACAATCACGTCCATCATTATATCTTACATGTACCCGTGTTGTCATAATAGTTCATTTTATTAAACTTCTCTAGATTTAAGTTTTATATTAGAAGACCTTGTTCTAAAATTGAAAAAGACAATTAAGATAAAAAGTCTCAAACTTGTAATTCAAACACTTTCTCTTATTATTGGATCATGCCATTAAAGATGGAAACAAGCCAGGCAGTCTGGTCTCTGCTCGTCTAAGCCTGATGACTTATTAAAAGATTTTTTTGCAGCAGGCTTTAGGACAAATCAGGCTAGGCAAAAAATGAGGCTTTTAACAGGTAATAAACTAGATTTAGGTCGAACAATTATGCTACAGGCCTGGCTTGGCCTATTTCTATGCCTACGGGCCATATTAAAATCTTAACAACATATTAGAGACCATATCCAAAATAAAATAAAAATGAAGGCATAAAACAAAAAAGTTTAAATAAAAAAATTAGACTTGTGGCACTAAAAAAACATTTAAAAAAGAGAGAATAAAACTCAGACAATAAAAATAAAAGACTTGAAGTAGAGATCCAACAAAAAAGACTTAAAGTTACAAAAATAAGCTATTAAATAAAAGAAAGATTAAAACAAAAATATAATTCTCAACTAGTCCATGACTAGTTAAACTTGAAGGAGAGTCTTAAGATATAAGTCTTATATTGATGGGTTAACAACGTATTAAAAAATATATTAGTTAAAAAGTCTTACTTTAAAATTATCTAAGATATTTTAGATAAAGAGATCTCTTATACTTGTACCTTAAACTTTCACTATTGGATCAAACCATATTAAAATTATAATATGATATCAAAGACTATTAAAATAAAAATGAAGGTCTAAAACAAGAAGTGTCAAATTAAAAAAAAAAAAGATCTATGGCATTAAAAAATATTTTAAAAAAAGAGAAAAGTAGAGACAAAAAATAAAATAAAATCTTGAAGTTACAAGCTGAATCTACAGTAGAAGAAAGATTAAAAAATAAAATAAAATGCAAGTCTCAACTAGTCAAAAGCTAGTTAGACTTAAGTGAGAATTTTAAGATATTAGTTACATTAGTGAGTTAATAACATATCAAAGAGTGTATAAGTTAAAAAGTCCTACTCTAAAATTGTCTAAAGCATTTTAAATAAAGAGGTCTCTCAAACTTGTAATTCAAATACTTACCTTTTTTTATTGGATTAGATCATATTAAAATTCTAATATGACATTAAAAATTAGATTCAAAATAAATTAAAAATAAAAGCATGAAATAAAAAAAATTTTAAAAAAAGATCTGCAACATTAAAAAAATATTCAAGAAAAAAAAAACAAACTTAGATGATAAAAGAAAAGAAAAACCTTAATTAAAGGCTCAATGAAAAAAACTTGAAATCACAAATTCAAACTTAAAAATTTTTTTTAAAAAATGCAGTCTTAGCTAATTCAAAACTAATTAGGGTCTTAAAATGCAACTCTTATATTGATGGGTGAGTAACATATCAAAAAATATATATGCCACATAGACATACTCTAAAATTACTTAAAACATTTTAGATAAAGTGGTTTCTCAAATTTTTAGTTCAAATATTCTCTTCTTAGATTGAGCCATATCAAAATTATAATAAGACTCAAGGAGAAATCCTAGCTTTTAAGAATACATATATATATATAAAACTTGAATAGAATAATTGTAATTTGAAAGAAAAGAAAAATCTTAGGAGAAAAGTTTTAATTCTCAAACTAGATAAAGTGAGAACAGGTGTTTGAAGAAAAGACACCAATTGAAACCAGAAAAAGCTTTGTTGTAATAATTGTATATTGGAAAGGTTATTTCCTTTTGTTTATATCAATTTTACGATTTGTGAGGAAAAGAAGCACAATGCATAAGAGTCGGTCACCACGAAACATCTCAATTAACTACATTCAAGTTCTGTGTCATTTCCAACTCACTTTGTTGAAAATTCAATGGAAACACACTATCACTTTATATAATCATACAAAATATATGTGCTTCAAACTTGAAATTCCACACTAAGTGAAAAGGACAGTGTCCTATTATTTGTATTATTATTATTATTATTATTATTATTTTCATTTTAATAAAAGGTTACAAGTGTCCATTTCCTTTTAACTCATGTTTAGTTCTTTTTAACAAATTAAGTCATGATAGAAATGGAATTCACACCTACCACCTATCCTCCACTAGTGAATTTATTGACATTTTTTTATGTGCATTAAAGGTATTTTTATTTGATAATCAAAAATCAATTTTTTATAAATATAAAAGTTATTAAAATAGACTTTATCTTTTTAATAAAACTTTTTTATATATACATAACTAAAAATTATCCTAAATCCAATCAGAAAGGTGTAATTTGAAAGTAAAGGCTGGGTTTATATATGAGGGTCTTTTTTTTAATGAGAAAAATATAAAATTTTGGAAAAAATTAAAAAAATTATACAATTTTTAAAAATTTACCAGTACTGTCAGTGGTGTTTTTTTTAGTATTTTAAATTTTTTTATTTTTTAAAATATTTCTACTAGCAATTTTTTATTGGGTTTTGTTAATCTCAGACTGAGATTAACAGAACCCTTTTTTATTTTTAAAATTTGTATTATTTTTTAAAAAATCATCAATGATGAATTTTAGTTTTTTATAATTTTTCAAAAAATCATTAGTGATAATTTTTAAAATTTAGGAATTTTTTGTTGTTATATCTGGCCAACACAAAAAATTGTCACTAACCTCGTATTTTTAATTTTTTTTAAAACACCATATTTTGATATATATATATATATATATATATATATATGTATTTCAAATCTCATATTTAAATAATTAAATCTATATATCACCAATTGTAGATATAATCCATTTGAGATCCATAATGCTTCAAGTTCAACGTGTGTTTACAAATGTTTTGATAAATCTGTAAAAATGAATTTAATATAAAATTATAATAATAATATTAAAATAAACGTAAATTCATCTTTGTTCAAATGCAAGTTTAAACATGCTGTCAACCAACCTGTGAAATTTCCCCTCTTCCCATTTTCCTGTTCATGATTTTAGTATTCTCATTCATTTTCAATGTTAGTTTGAAGATAAATCTGAAGAGTCTATTATGTACAATGGCTTGACTAGACCAACAAATTAAAACTCTATCAACATATTTAAGTAACGTAGTTATTTTATAAGCAACTTTTTGTTGATAGTATTATATACTAATCTTTAACAATTATCAAATTGTCCATATTTCGTTTTTGTAAATATATTATTAGATGGAATAAACTTTAACTTAATTTTTACTTTCTATAATTACTTATTGATAAATTTATTTAAACTGAACTTAAAGTAAAATTCCAATTAACAAGTAAAGGATTTTATGTTTATCATATATATATATATGTGTGTGTAATAAAATCGTTTTTATATTTAATTCAAATAAAAAAATGTACATATGATGTAATTAATTCAAAATTAGACCCTTTTTAACAGTGAATTTTAGCATGAAATGGGTTAACATCAAAATTTAATTGTGATGTAATTACTCTATCGCATGTATACATCAATCCAATAAAGAGCAAAAACATGCGAGTTTCAAGAGAAGAAAAAACAAGAACAAATGGAGAAAAAGATGCACATCATTGTCAACTCCATAGGCATGCATTGGAAGATAAGGCATGCATGATAGATTCAGTGAAAGTTGACTACACCATTCAATAGAAATTCCAGTGATTACTAAAATCCATAACCTATCAATACCTATACCCCATTAGCTTTAAGCACCTACCAAATTTTGCAAACGTTTCTTTTTTCTTTCTTTTGTGGAAAATTACAATTTATCTGTAATTTTATTTTCCTTTCTATTTTATTTATTAGGGAATACACTGCATCATTAACTTCTCTCATACAGAAATTTTCCACTCCATTTTTTTTTTATAAAATTTAAATATTGAATCATAAAAGAAGCACTCTCATTTCTCAATTTTATTTTCCATAAGAAACTTAATTTTTCTCATTAATTCCTTATGTTGAATAAGTATGAGATCAATCTCATTGTCATAGTTAGAATCATAATGCTGCTTTATGTGGACATTGAATGAAACTGAAAGTGAAATGGGTGAACCCTAGAGTCAAGACTCTCAAAACAAGCTTTCAGGTATAAATCAATTTTTAGAATCATTTGCGCCAAGATTTAATATGTTTGAATTTGTGTAAAGCTTTGGATAAAATATAATTTTAATATATTTCATTATTTTGATTTATTAAATTAGAGTGGAATGAAATAGACTAGAATTGAAAGGAATGGGTTCCATTTCATTCCATCCAAAATCTCAATTTTTATATTGTTCTAATAAAAAATTTATTTACTATTTTTCATAGTTTTAAATTTTACACAACATAAATTTGTACACATACATGTTATCATGTTAGTATATCTAAATATCATAATGATAATTTTTATTTCATTTCATTCTACTTTATCTTCATTTTATTTCATTTTATTTCATTTTCCTTTCTTATTATTAAATATTCAAACATATTAAAAAATTTGCAAAAACAAGAAAGATTGTATGAACGGAACTTATAAAATCCTGAAAATCTAGTTGTTAATTATTGACCAAATAAATATTCACTTCATAATTTGCCGTATTGAACATCATTTTAACGTCTCAGATCCTTCCTTGCTAGAATTATTGACCACATGAATACTATTAATTAGGACTAAATATAAAATTAATTTAAATAAATCCCTCAAAGTAATATTTATTAAAAAAAATCAAGAAATTAAGATGAACCAAATTCCTCTAACAAATTAAAATTAACTTCTACACCCATCTTATAAAAATAAATAAATAAAATGAAAAACCTGAAAACTTAAATACGTAAACTAATTATATTAATTCAATTTATTTTCTTAATTCATATTTTACAATTACTAACTGTAATGTTGATCTAAACTGACTCACAGTCACAAATAAAAATTAACTTGAAAATTAGCCGTATTGAACACTCTTTTAATTGATCATATCATAACAAGTTACTTTAGTATACAGGACATTTGAAAGTTTGGTAACTTTCTCACTCCACACAACCGAATTTTTCTTCAACCAATTTTGTGTTTGAAACTTTTAACTTTGAAAAAAGAAACTCATATCAACATCATTAAGGTGTCGTCAATTTCATCACATAGAAAGTATGTACAATTTAGAGATGCATTGTAACAACTAATTGAAACCTAAATTGTTCAATGCTACAGTGAGTTAGGAATTTCCATAATCCAACAACCCACCAAGCCATTATTCTAAGACACCTTCCCCATATTGTATTACATGCTTTAGAGTAAAGATCACATTAACACTGTACAAGGAAAAAAATATGCAAAGGAAGAAAAAGAAAAATATGTAACTTTTGGGAAGGAAATTCAAGGCCTTGGCTTGACCTTAAAATACAATCACTTCCTACCCAACCTCAGCAAATGTTGCTGATGCTTTGCTTCAGCTGCCTTATCAGCAGCTTCCCTTTTCAGTGCCCTCTTCGCCCTTCTGCCTGTAGTAATTTTCCCAGCCTCTTTCTTCCCCGGCTCGCGGGATGAACTTGCTCCTGAATCCTGGAAGTTGGGTCGCTGGACTGGTCGAGCTTCTTGACGACCAGCCCTGACATAACCATTGTCTCCCCATCTACGGTTGCCAATGCGAAAACTTGACGAGCCCCCGTAGTATGCTTCATCCATATCATCATCCTCATCATCATACTGATAGTAGTAATCTTCAATGTCTTCATAAGCATCTTCATGATCCACATGCTCTTCAACCGTTAAAGGTTTGAACCATGAGGCACGAAGTAGTAGGCAAACACTTTCCTCAAACATGTAATCTTCAATGCTGCCACAGTACAAAAGATTAAGAAGTAAGAACATGATTTCAGCCACACCTTGAAATTATTGTCAAAAAGAATTTGCAATGCAACTATTAACCTATAAAATGCCATTCTTTCTGCCTTACTACGTACTACATATTAAATAGTTTCAGATGCTACATTATTTTGGCATTTTTTTACATCCTAGTTTCAAGTGAAACTCTGCCTAGAAATGATAGAATTTTATGGTAAATAACCAAAGGAGCTGAAAAAGAAACATAAAAAAACATTGCTGAATACGTTGTACAGATGTGTCCAACGGCATCCTCCTTGTTTAGCATGTTCTGTCGTAATCAACAGTGAAAGGATGTAAATGAAGGATTAGAAAAATTTGTGATTTTCTTTTTGGAAATACTCGGGTTATTATTTTCTGGTTGCTGAATATGGAAGATGGAAGTCTTATTTTATCTGGTTGTTGATGTTTTATTACTATGTCAGGAGGCTGCTTGGCTTTATAGTTATCAAATTTAATGTAAGTTATAACTAAATTGGTTTGGACTCCAAAAATGCAATGATATTCTGGTTTATGAGATATTAGCATTCTTGTTTTAAACATACAGTTTTATTTTTGTTTAGCAAATATTATTGAAGAGAGAGACAAAATTTTCATGTTGCAATCCGTTCCCATAAAAATAGCATTATTTTTTCCATCACATTTCAACATACGTAGCATGAAATAAATCAGAAAAATAAGCCAAAGTGAAAATGCAGTGATTACCTGCCATCTAGGGTGCGATGGACATTCAGGAACTCAAATGGACATTTACATTGAGGGCAGGTAACTTTCTCCCGGTATGTAGCCCATCGAAGGATGCATGTTACACTACAAAAAAATCAAGTAAGACCATCAGAAAAAAGTGAAGAACACACATCTCAAAAAATCTATGAAGACCTCATTCTTTCCAACTTCCAACAGTCAATTTAATAGTAATGAATCAAAAAAGAAAGAAAGAAAACACTATAGTTCAGGCAAACTCAACAAATAAAATCAGAGCATCACTTATTTCAGAGGGGAAAAACACCAATTTAAATTTTATCAGATGCCTTGATGAGGCATTAGAAGAGGCAATACATACCTATATTATCTAATAGGATCGGTAAGAGTCTAATCAAAGAATTTTTGACAAAATCCTTGAGTTGGTGAGAAACTTCTTTAACACACACAAAGTAAGATGAAGAGCATTAAAACTTAACAGAATAGTGTCCACAACATCTCAGTAGCTAATCAATCCAGATTTTGGACCTAATTTTTTCAATCCCACTGGCATATAACCAGAACAACTTGACGCAGAGACAAATTCTAGTCTATTCATTTGAAAGAAATATAAGATGCTAAACAGTTGCAAACAACGATGCCTCAACCATGTGAATTTGATATCTTCCATATTTTCGCTTCCAATTTAATCATGATATAAAGCATCACTGATCAGTCAACTCCATAGTTTCAATTGAACCATGCTATGTATCATCATAGTTTCAATTGAACCATGCTATGTATCATCATTGATCAACTAGTTGAGATAACTTTGATGGACAAGATATGATGAGCAAATGTAAATTATGAAAAATTCTTCTCATCCGTGATCATAGATTAAACAAGCAAAAATGCACTAAACCACCCCATAAGGGAAAAAGAAGAACCAATTCCTATTTCCAAACCATTGCAACTGCAACAAACTTTACTACCTAAGGTTCCAAACCATCTGACACTCGTAAAAACAATGACATTTGTAAGTATTTTATCAACACGGGGATACATACTGGGGTAAAGCTAACATAATTGTTAAACGTTTAATAAAACAATTCTTGCACTTTCATGTAACAATTCAAACTTTTAGCAACATTGATTGGTCCTGACAAAATAATAATAGAATCTCAACTATCTCACCCCCATTTTTCTAAATAAAAGTTTAAGTTCAGTCAAAGTTATAAATAAACTTTCACATGCTCCAGGCTTCAAGCCCAAAGTGATTTCGCATCTTGAGCTTTCAGGAGAGGTAAACAGACCATGTTACCTCAAAGACTGATGTGGACATGATGGTGGACATGTGAATATGTTTGAGATCCAACAATTTACATACTAATTGAACTTAGATTATGCATGATCACATCAGTCATCAAAGTCTCCCAATCATGATCTTGTGGGAATCCATAATGCTCAATTTCACAGAAACCAAACTTATACAACACTTCTCAATTCACTCGTGACAAATTGATAACAAACTCATAAATTGATGTTCAGAAATCCAATCCAAGTTGCAAAAAAGGGAATAAAGCTGCAAGCTTTCCCTTGACTTTTAAAGATTCTCAAGTCCATCATTTACAGAAAAAATTTCATGAATAAGTTATGCTCCAAGACATAAAAAGGAAACATACTCTATCTCTAATAGAATGAATCAATCGTAACTCGTAACTCATCAGGATAAGGACACAAATAACAAAGTAACATAGGCATGGTGTTTGCGTTTTATATAGTTTCAAGGAAGAAAAAACACCACCATTTGGAAAGTGGCACTAATCCATGTCCCTGATTACAATGAGTATTGAAAATTCCATTGTTCCAATCAATTCAAAAGCAATTGGAAAATGAACATATCATAATCAAAGATGCACATTTTCCACAAACTTAATTCCAAAACGAACAGCAAAAGGTCGTTTAGACAAACCAGTAAGCATGCTCGCAACCTTTTACAAGAGCAGTTTCCTGCAGCACTATCTTATCCAAGCAAATAGCACAGATTCCCCCATGGCTTCCAAATCCCACCCCATGAATCTCAGCTTCACTCCCTGTCTCACTCTGAACATCAACAACATCAGAAACCATGGAATCAACAACAGAAGCACCAATTCCAACATTCCCAAACCCCATAAAAGAACATCAACAAAATCAACAATTGGTGAAAAAATCATCAGACCCATAACATAAAGTTCGAATCTTTGACACGAAACCCCAATTGGGTACCCCATAAACATCCAAACAAACCGGAATTGAAACACACAAATTAAATCAGGAACACCCATTATCAAGAAGAAAGAAATATGCATACCCATTAGCTAGAAGGAAGAAAAAAAATACCAGATCTTTGATGGAAAGGTCCTGGAAATCGTCGCCGAGTACCTGTTCGCCTTGGTTCTTCACGAGTGAGGAAGTCATAGTGACAGATCCAAAATAAAGATTATAGAAGAAACTAGTGGTGTGTGTTTGTATGCAAAACCATACAACACAAAACCTGAATAAAGAAATTGAAGAGAGATAAAGGGGGAGAGAGAGAGAGAGAGAGAGAAAGAGAGAAAGAAAATGAAAGAGATGCTGAGGAATGATTCCGAGATGCCGAAGGACGAAGAAAACAGTAAAAAGGTTGAAACTTGAAAATGCCAATTCCAAGTCCTATAACTCACAAGAAAGGGTCAAACAAAAGCACCGACTTTTATTTGCTTTTCAATGTTATTATTTATTTATTATTACATGAGAATTATTATTAGTGAGTATTAAAAATTACTGATTAAAGAGTAATTAAGAAAATACCAAAAAAAGATTAATTAAGAATATAATTAAAAAGATTAGTAAAATTTATTTTTATTAAATGTTTTTTAATTCTTTAAAATATTTATTAGATTATTTATTTATTATTTTTTTAGAAAATTATTTTCATTTATTTAATCAATATTAAGAGTAATTAATATATTTTACTAAAATTTTAATTATTTAGAATAAATATTGAATTTTTATTTTTCATTTATTAAATATTTTTAACCAATATTCATATTTTATTTTCCAAATCAATATAAGACTAGTGTTTAGCATTTATTACAATTTTTTGTTTCATTTTCAAACATTTTCAAACACAATTTATTATTATTATTATTTTTAATTTGCTTTTCAATGTTATGATTTATTATTACATAAGAATTTGTCCTAGTGAATATCTTAAAGATACTTACTGAAGAGTAATTAAAGTATTTCCTAGACGCTTTTTATCATTTGGAAATAAGCATTAAATAATTTTTTACTTTATTAAATAATTTCAATAAAAAAATCTTAATTATATTTTCAAACATTTTTCGAAACACAATTTTTTTAATTATTTTTTTATTTGTTTCCAATGTTATGACTTACTGTCACATAAGAATTACGGTTAGTGAGTATTTTAAAAATACTTATTAAAGAATAATTAATATATTTTACTATACATTTTTATTTAATTAAAAGAATTGTTTAAAATTTATTTTTTACTTTCTTAACCAATATTAGGCATACTTATTAACAATTATTATAAAAATATTTTATAATTCTAATTCAAATAAATTTTGAATAAACTTTTATAAAATATTTAAAATGTTATTATTTATTTTGATATAATCGCTCCATAAATAGTTATGGTCTGAGATGAGAGTATGAGAGTTGTGGACCGCACGGGACTCCTCAACATGTGGAGGGGAATACAAAGGACGCGTTTGGTAGGTAGTTTAGTTAGTTCCGCTTCTTCTTTTTCTTAACCGTTTTTTTTCTTTCTATTTTTAAAAAACTCATTTTTTCCCTTTTTCTTTTTCTCCTTCTTCTTTAAAAGAAATAAAGAATAGAACAAAGCAGCATTCTTTATATAATTATAATTATGTGAAGTTTTGGGTACTCCTTAAGTTTGGTGTACCTACTCAATATATATGTAGTTAAATTTTTTAATATATCTTTAGTAGTTGTTGTAAATATTATTTTTTTTTATCGAAATATTAATTTTAAATACTATAAATTTTAAAATTGTTAAAAACTTACTTTTTCATTATTTAGTGTATACTATGTGAACAATTATTTTAAAGTGACCGATAGTATAATATGTTTGATAAGTTAAATTTTGATCATATTTAGTTTAAAATTTTTAAGTTGATGAATAAAAAAATCGTAATATGAATTTTAAAGTAATTGTTATAAATTTTATTAATTTTTTATTATATAATTAATATTATATGATAATATTAAAAATTATATTGTGATTGTATCTTTATTAAATTATATAATATAATCAATAAATGATATAGAAATTAAAAAATAATATATATATATATATATTATTATAAAGGAATCTATGTAAATTTTTTGTCTTTATTTATTTTTTTTTATTTGAACTTTTCTATTTTACTTTTGTCTTGAGACACTAATAATTATCTTGTGATTATTTGGGGTATCGTTCCAGCAAAAGTAAAACTATAAGAATAGAAAGAAACTTTTTTAAAATTCCTTTCTTTTTAAGATGACAACCAACGTTTGAGAAAAAACATTCAGTTTTTGTTTTCTCTTTTATTTTTTATGGTAGAGGTGCTCACCAGTTGGGTTCCAATTCCAACACCTGAATTAGTCCCACCCAATCATATTAAAAAAAATTCGATTAAATCTATAAAACATTTATACTGATCGAGTAATTAAAAAATAAAAAATCATTAACAAATATAAATTACAAAAATTTTAAATAATTTGAACAAAACAATTGGGGTGGTTTCTGTGTGGCGGTTCCTGGTCCTGACGTGGGTGGCCGGCGGTGATGGCTTCCCCGTCTTCCCTCTTTCTACTTTTAAATGCGTAAATTTGAAATATTTCATATTCTTTAGATTAATTAGTATGATTCTTTCAAAAAATTAAATGTCAAAATTAGGAGGACAAATAAGAGAAGATGCCAAAGCTTTTCAATCACAAAGTTAAAGTAAATTTTCCCTTCTGAAAACTGTAGCAGTTCTCTCTCACCGGCTATGTGGCGCCAGTGGAAAGCCACACGTACACAAGATGCTTATGATTAAGCTCATTTTCACTTTTCTAAACACTGCAGGGTGTGACATGTATCATCCTCTCAGTGCGCGGCGCATCTTAGCGTTTTGCTTTTCTGTCGGTAATATGCTTTCGGTGCTCTCTGGACCCATTTGAAAGAATGGGTTGCTTTTATAAATACGCCATGCTTAGTATAACCTGTCTTGTGTTTCTCACTAGACACAACCTGAGCAGCGAGGCCAGTGTAACAATTGCAAATGGGTGCGGCGGAGAACACTACACGTACAGGTCGTACAGGTCCTCCCCCAACGACACCGGACGACATCGAACTCTTGCTCGGGGTTAATATTAAATCACTTAATTCCTCTAATTATCATTTTTTATTCCATTTTAGATACTGGAAGAACTAAAATCAAATATGTGATATTTTTAGCTAATGATTAATTAGATTAAATGACAGATAGTTATTGTTGGTATTGAAATGTTTTGATGTGTTTTGACAGTCTGCAAGATTTGGTGTCCTAGATGATGTTAAGAGCTTAGCAGGTATTGGTGTTTGTCTGGATTCCAAGGATGAACAGGGGAGAACAGGTATATATTACAACTCCTCTTAACTGTGGAGTTAACTCACTGGAATTTACAGGTTTGGTAGTGTTTTTTACGGTGAGGTGGAGTTTGTTAGAGTGCATATTTAGTTTGGTGTCTACTTCCAGTTAGATTCAGTCTGAATAAAAACAGTATTACAGTGATTGTGTGAAATTTATGTTATAATTGGGGTGAATCAAAGGGCCACAACCTTTGATTCCATGCTTATACATATTGAATAGGCTAAAGAAAATTATATGTTAAATGGTTGCATTAATATATTAAATAAGTTGTAAGGTTGATTTTGATGAAAGTTTGGATTTTAAAGCTCGTCATTGATGAGATCATGAAATATAGGAGCTTGTAAAGAAAGTGCCCATTTCATAAGACCATTTTGATTGAATAAGTTAACTTTTATTTGGAAGGAAGGGAATTGAGAACCCCAACCGGGTATATTAAAAGTTTTTGAAGAAGATAATTTTGTCTGATGATCAAGGCAGAAAAAGAAAATTGTTTAGCTATGAGCCTATGACCCATTATACTTCTTCATATCTACTTGACTTTGCTCCTCTAATGTATGAATCCAGCTCTTCATATAGCTGCAGCTAATGGACATACTGATATTGTGGAGTATTTAATCAGTAAAGGAGTGGTGAGTAGCCTTTTCACAAATATTGTTAGTTTGATTTTCTAACTTTCTGATCTGAATAAGCCTTTGGTTGATCACTAAAATTAAAGTAAATACATTCTGTCTGATAGCAAATCGTTTCATTGACCATTACCACCTTTTACCTTTTAATTCCATGCTATCACTTTATATTTAATGACGATGCACTAATCATCGTCTGAGTTAAAAACAAAAAAGGTATTTGCATTATGCAGTCGACTTCTCCCAACTCTTACCCCTTTGTAAATCGACGTGTACTTGAGGCAGCTACTAGGCAACAGCAGGGGTGAAAAACCTAATGGTTTTAAAAACCAAATACCGTGATTTATAACAAAAGCACAGGGTTACCACTAGGGCACACACCTTTGATTGAGCAACATGTGTCCAAGGGATGGATAGGTTTATATAATTATAGATAGATTACTAGAGTTATAAGAATTTCGATATCTGCCCCACGCACTTAAATCCTAGTGTCTCAAGCCATGGTTAATACATTATGCTTGGTGTAGACTTCTTTACATCATGTGGTTACATTACAGCATTTTTCAAGTTGTTGACATTGCTTGAAAATTCATGTTTACTAGTGCCTATCAACCTGTGGATGGGATAAACTGTTATGTTCTTCAATTAGTTATATTTATATGTACTTAGAATGTATCCTAAAGGAGGTTGGACCAAAATCCACTGAGAAGAAGATGATGGAAATTTGCTTAAGGTGGTTTGGCCAATTAAGAAGAGTACCAATAGAGGCTCTTATTAAGAAAAGTGAATCAAAATGGGGATACGGATGGGGAAATTAAATATTAGGAAAATAACTCTCATTCTCTTCCAAAACATGGGGAAATTGTGGGGCTGTTGGGGCCAAGTGACAGGCTAAGGGAAGGGGATTAAGTATTTGATTGTTGCATTTTGTTAGAGGGAGCAGAATTTCAATATCTATTGGAATTTTCATTCTTGTTTCCTAGTCCAACTTGTCGAATATGTCACAATGTCTCCAAAACTAGCTGAGTGGAGAGATGGACCGTGTTTGGAGGTGGTGGAGAGCTCTTTAAGTCGTGCTGCTCTCTTTGAGCTTTGAGATTCAGTAGTCACAATGTGAGATGCAGTGTTCATTCATGGAATTTTTGGATGTGCATCAGTCCCTTTCAGAGATGAGGGGCGTAACAGCGGCATTGGAGCAGAAGGAGACCCGTGGAATGATAAGTCATTGGCGGCAAATCATTGGTTGAAATTCTGAATTCACAAATTGGTGAGCCATTGTATGATGGAGTACATGATCATCAACTTAACCCCATGCGATGGATCTAACGTGCAGAAACCTAGTTCGAGATGCATGATGAATTGAAGGTGAAGCTCTCACGTCTTTGTTGTTGTGCTATTGGGTAACTATCTACAATAATCCTTCCCTAATCCTTTTGAAGAATTATCTGTGATTCATCAACCAGGTATGGTGGATGATTACATTGAATTGTTTGAATCTGTTTTGGCACATGTTCTTTGCACATTGAAACTGCAATATTTTGGATATTTCATGGCTGGACTAAGATCCATATCCGACAAATGGAATGGGAAGTTGACGGCTTGGTAATTAGCAATGGCATTGCATCATTTCAGATTCATTCGGGTTATAAGGACCAAACAAAAAAAGCATACAGGTTGCACTTAAATTGGAATGAGAAAGATGAACAAAATCTGATGGGCTCCACTAAGTCCAATAGTAGTTGGATCCAATCAGGATCAGATTCGTCCTACCAACAGTCAGCATATGTTGAGGGCTCATCTACAACAAAGTTGAATTTAGCTCCCGCCCAAATGGGACAATGACCGTGGTGGTTCTGCAGAGAAACACCTAAATCTAGAGGTGTGCGGCGGACCGAAAGGTGAAGAGGCTGTGTTTTCGGGAAGAAGTTTCATCCTTTGCATCAAGCTCCAAAAGAGCTTTTAAAGCTAGTAATAATGGGAGATAGGGATTGAACAAGATACAAAAGGTGAGGGGTTATGAGGGGTTAGAGTGTAAGCTCATGGGCTTCATGCGAGTGACAAGTTATGATTTGTCAATGTAAAAAACTATGAGATTGGATGACCCCTTGAAAGGGGTACCATTTTGGCGTTGGTTGATAGTGGGGTGAGTCACAACTTTGTGACACCAAAGGAGGTATATTCACTAAATTTTCGTATAAACCCTACAAAACAATTTGGGGTGAGAGATTGGTCATAGGGTCTACACTAAGGGCAAATGTTCTAATCTATCCCTGCGGTTCAGAGATATAGATGTGATTGTGGATGCTTGTGTTCTGGGGAAGGGTGGACATGATCTTGGGGGGTAGCTGTAGAAATGAATTGGAGGAATATGACTATGTCCTTCAGGTCAGGAAAAGATATTGTGGAATTGCAAGGTGGTGTGGTGCTAGGTTCAAGATGCACTTATGGTGGTAATCTCAACCTTAAAGACTCTTTCTTTGGTGCTTAGAAGGCTTAAAAACGATGCAATGGAGTTTACCGTGGAATTCTGAAAATAACAGTTAAAGAGTTAGAGGGAGTGTTGCAGGAGTTCCTAAAAGTTTTTAAGGAACTGTTTGGGCTACCTCCTTCTCGAGACAGCCCATTCCATTGATCTAAAGGAAGGCACCTAACCAATAACTGTCAGGCCATATCGCTATCCACATCAGCATAAAATTGAAATTGAAATTGTCATAGTTCTAGCCCTTTTCCTAGTCCAGTAATTCTTGTTAAAACAAATATGCTAGATGCTACATGGAGAATGTGCAATAAGGCAACGCTGCAGGACAAATTTCTTATTCCAGTTGATGAGTTGATCCGTGAATTACATGGAGCTAGCTTTTCAAAGTTGACCTTAAAATTTGGGTACCATCAAATAAGGATGAGGGAGGAAAATGTGTCCAAGACAACATTTAAAACCCATGACGGTCCCCGATCTACTGTCCTCTAGGTTCTCAAAGAAAGTTAGTTTGTTGCAAATAAGAAAAAATGTAGATTTAGAAGAACTCTAGGTGCAAAGTGTTTTCAATTAGCCAGAACCTAGAAGGGTGTAGAGGCTTTTTGGGATTGACAGGATATTGGATGATCATCCAAGAGTATGGATAGCTGGCAAAACCGGAGAAGCTTTTAATTGGGAACCAGCTGCTCAGCAAGCATAAGCATTTGTGGTATATTCACTAAATTTTCGTCTACAAAACGATTTGGGGTGATGTTGGAGATTGATCATAGGGTCTACACTAAGGGCAAATGTTCTAATCTATCCCTGCGGTTCATAGATATAGATGTGATTGTGGATGGACTTAGGAAGGGTGGACATGATCTTGGGGGTAGCTGTAGAAATGAATTGGAGGAATATGACTATGTGCTTCAGGTCAGGAAAAGATATTGTGGAATTGCAAAGTGGTGTGGTGCTAGGTTCAAGATGCACTTATGGTGGTAATCTCAACCTTAAGAGACTCTTTCTTTGGTGCTTTAGAAGGCTTAAAAAGAATGCAATGGAGTTTACCGTGGAATTCTGAATTTGCAGTAACAGTTAGAGTTAGAGGGAGTGTTGCAATAACAGTCAACGGGATCTTATCATAACCATCAGTATGAGCACAGCTTATTAATTGATGGCCAAAAATAAGTGATTAATTGCTGTTTAAAGTCTTATCTACACTGCTTCGCTTCTGAACAGTCTTGGAATTGGTCTTTGTGACTGCCTTCGGCAGAATAGTGGTATAATACCACGTTTTATGTATCTACTAGATTCACTCCTTTTGAAGTGGTGTACGGGCTCAAGCCTCCCGCCGTAGTAAGGTACTTGGATGGAGAAACTAATGTAGAGTGTCTAATGTAGAGACTGGGTAGAGATCTTAAAGATAGAGATGAGACTTTGAAGCGACTGAAATAAAGCACAAGAACAAATCTATAAGTAGCTTTTGCTATTGGTAATCGGATTGCGTCCACGTAAGCAATTATGTGTCTCAACGGTCCCTGATTTGTCGAAAGATATGTCACATAATCATAGAAAGCTTGGGTAGTACAAGACAAATTTGATGACAAGGCTGCTGTTTTAATAAGGATGTATTGTTGGGGCTGTTGGCCCAAGTGATAGGCTAAGGGAAGGGGGTCAGTTATTGGATCTTATCCACAGTGTGGGGATGTGAGAGAGAAAAAGAATAAGAGGTAAAAAGGGGAATTTAATGCATGAGTTAGTTAGAAGGGGCGAGAGTGAGAGGCGTGTGTGTGGAGGCATTCAGGAAAAAAAGACACAGTTGTTGCAGTCACAGAAGAATTTCGGTATCTATTGGGATTTCTGTAGTAGCCATGCCTCTAGATATGTTTACTTTTTGACATTCAATAATACTTGCATTTCATTCTTGTTGATTTCCACCACCCCCTCCTCAATCTCCCTCTTTTCTTTTCCAATTTCACTTTCCATCACTATCCCCATCCAAACATAAGAGGTTTTAAAGCTTGTGGTTGTGTGGACAGGATCTTAATTCACAAAATGAGGATAAAAATACACCTCTTCATTGGGCGTGTCTCAATGGGCATGTTGAGGTAAATACTGCGCACTTCTAAGGATATCCCTTATTATTTGATTGATCATGCATGGTTTTCCTTAACTGGTAAGTACATTCCAGGTTGTGAAGAAATTAATCATGGGTGGAGCTAATGTTAGTGTTTTAAACAGGTTTGTTATATTACCTGAGCCTCAAGCATTCATTTAAGATGTGTCCAGAGTTTCTTATAATGCATCTGTTTTGATCATGCTTCTTTTCCAGTCATGAGAGGACTCCATTGGATGAAGCTGTGAGTAGTGGAAAGCGAGAAGTGATGGATGCAATTAATGAAGCAGTGGCTTACGTTGAACTTCATGGGCCTGTGGTTTCTGCTCAGGAAACTTGAAGTTCATGCTTCTCCAAGTACCCTGTAATATGAGAATTTGGTGATGGTTATACATGTTTTCCAATAATGTTAACTTTTTTAGGGTGAACAGAATAATGAGCATGACTTTGTATCCAGAAGCAACCAAGCTAAATCTCATAAATAAATAAATGTTGTAAGTAAATACTGCTGTAGTATGCGTTGTTGCATATATATATCTTTTTACACTGATATAAAATTTTTATATCCGATTTAAACTTTTTATTTAATTAAATTAATAAATTATAAATTAAATGGAAGATTTATATAAGTCTAAGAATTTTTAAATTTTATTAGTATCAAAAGATATATAATAATAATAATAAACTTTTATCTATGGTATTACAAGCAATATTATTGCTTAATTTAATTTATGTAAGCACATTGTAGCTTGTGTTTATTTTAAGTAAGTTTTAAATTCATACTTTTAAAATAATTTTTTAAATTATTATAACTAATTTAATTTAATAATTTATTTTTACATTGTTAAGAAATGTACTGTAACTAAAACTTGATATTTAAATGAATAAACATATGTTTTAAGTTTTTATATTACAAGCATTGATTATTATATATTTTTTAATTTGATAAATTTTAGTTTAATTGTTAATTTTACAAAATAACATTTATTTTAACTCTATATAATATAGAATGACGATAAAAGTTAAAATTTAATTGATCAAATCTTATAATTTAAATATTAAAATTTTATATTTAAGGTGAAATTATTATTATTAAACATCAACTAAATATAAATGAAATAATTATTAATTAGAAATAATTAGATTACCTTAAATATTAATTTTTACCTTAAAATTTGAATTTGAATTTAATTTAAAACTAATTTAACATAAAATATTAAATTTAAAATTAATTTTAAATTAAATCTAAATTTTAAAACTAATTTTAAATCAATTCAAAAAAAATTGTTTATAATTTAATTTATATATTAAATTTAAGATAGATTTAAATTAATTTTGTATCGTACATCTCTAATTTTTTTTTAGTACCATTGTTATATGAAAAAGTGTTATGCCTTTGTTATTTGCTTGTTGGATGAGCATATATAAGTTTTATTGGATTAATCAAATTTAAATTATATTTCAATTCAATTACTTCATTTGTATTTTGTATATACAATTTAAATAAGTTACTGTTATTTTGTAGACAATATTATTATTTGCGCTAGTACTTGTTAAAATATTAATGTGTTCTTTTGTTTTTTTTTTTTATCAGTAAAGATGAATGAATAATATAAAATAAATACAAGATAACCCTTTTACAATATCATAAATTTTTTGAGATTATAAAAATGTATAATATATTGTCTTCACAAATAAAGATAAAATGTTGCATTTTATATCATATTTGTTTTCAACATTTGTTAGAGCTTTAAAACTTCAATATTTTATTCCTATTTAAATTTTTCATTTTAAAAATTAATTGCTTATTTTTAATTATTTTTTCATATTTATTAATAATAAGTAATTATTTATGTAATTTTAAAAATTTTATATTTAATCTGAATTTTTTATTTAATGTATTATAATTATTTCATTGATTATTAAATATAAATTAAATAAAATATTTAAATCAAATATAAGAATTTTTAAATTTATAATATATATATATATATAGAAACATAATTTTTTTACATTAGTATAAGTCTAAAAATTCTTACATCTGATCTGAATCTTTTATTTAACTTAAATCTAACAAATTATAATTTATTATTTTACTAACTGTTAAATTTAAATTAAAGAGTTTTTAAATTTATATTAATATATATATCGTTGTTAAATCATCTATCTTTTTTTAAACAAAAAAAAAATATTGCTAACGTGAGAGAGAGATAAGAATAGAAAGATAAATAGATTTGGGCTAGAACAAAAAAAATTTCATGACCTCTAGACTATTAGAGTCTAAAGTTATTTTATTATGTTTCTAAAAGAAATGGTCGTATGGCCCAAAAAAAAAATTTAATTTGTGCAAAATATACTAATACATAGAAATGGGCTACATTTATCTTATTTATTTTTAGTTTGTAAATAATAATAATATAAAAATGTTCTTTAAATATATTTTATTTTGTTATTATCACAATGTATCTTGTTCAATTTTAATTTTTTTAATTTTCTTGATGTATAAATAAAAAAATTAAGTTTATTAACTTAATGATAAACTCACTCTTAAGTTAACTTTATTATGATATTTTCACTATTTTTTTTAATTTTTTCAAACTTCATTTAGGTGATAAATAATAATAATAATAATAATATTATTATTATTATTATTATTGTCTCTTTAAGTTATAAATTTTAATTTTTATAAATGATAATAAAAATAACAATAATAATAAAAGAAAGTTAAAATTGATTAAAATATAATATTAATTTTTATTTTTTATTATATTATATTTAATTTTTTCATATTATTTTTAATATTTATCTATCACACTAAAAATAACTTATCACTATAATTTTTATGTCATTTCATTATTTGTATTTATTTATTTATTTTGATAATTTATTATTTAATAATATTATTTTTTTATTTTATTCATATTTAATTTATAGCATTAATGTATACTTTATTCATACGGGTATTCATCTTACTTTAGATTTTATATAATATAAATTTAATATATTCTAATTTTAATTAATTAAATAATTATTTTATCAATTAGTTAAAATATATTGAATTAATTAAATTAATTTAAAATTATTTTACCATCATAATATTATATAATACTAATATATAACAACTCTATTGTAACGTATGGTAGATTATCAAAAACATATGTATATCTATATTATTTTATGTTTTATATATTATTAATGTATTTTAAAATTAAATTTTATTTCTAAATTTAATTGATTTATTTATTTGATTAAAACTTTATTTTTAAAATATTTTTCTCTTAAACTATAAATTTTTTTAATTAGATATTTAATTAATTTAAGTATTTTTTTTATAATTTTGTTTTATTAATTAATTAAAATATATTCTTTTAAATATTTCTCTATTTTATTATAAAATATAATTTATTTATTTATTAAATTAAAATCATTTTATTTTATTAATGCACCAATTCATAATACTAATGTACATTATTTCTACTTTTATACGTTGTATAGATTTATGTGTATTGATATTACATCTATTCTCACGTTATACATAAATATTTTTAAAAATTAACTATATTTTATTCGTTAGATACTTACTTTATTCATCAAAATATATTATTTTAAATATTTATTTTTTCAATTATAAATAATATATGTTTATCTTAAATTAAATCATACTTTCAATTTTAAATTAATTAGATAATTAATCAAAATATATTCTATAAAATATTTCATTATTTAATTATTAAACAATTAATTTATTAACTAAGTCATATTAATTCAATAATTTGTAGCATTAGTAATTTTCTTTTTATGCGTTATAAGTTCTTAAAATATATGTATATTAATGATACTTTAAATCTTATGTAATAAGTTTATTTTAAAATATTAAGTTATATTATAACTTATTTTATTAAATATTTATTTTTATTAATTAATCTAAATATAATTTTTTCTTTTTTTATTTTTAAATTTTTCTCTTATATTAAGTAAAATTAACTTTATATTTCTAAAATATTAAGTTATATTATAACTTATTTTATTAAATATTTATTTTTATTAATTAATCTAAATATAATTTTTTTTTTTATTTTTTCTCTTATATTAAGTAAAATTAACTTTATATTTCTAAAATTTTAAATCATCTTTTTAGCTTTAACAAACTAGATAATCAAATATGTGAATAGTAAAAATTATCATATAATACTTTACATCACTCTTCTTGCATATAAATTTCATGCAGTTGTCAAACAAGTCATAAAGAATTTATTAATAGTTTATGTTATTTTAAAATTTTTAATATAAAATTTCAAATTTAAGTATAAATTTGAATATTTTCTTTAATATATAAATAAATAAATATTAATTATTTATCCTAGTTAAAATTGTACATAATCCTAAATTTAAAATGTGAATCTTATTAACTTGGGCTTGAGTTGTAATAATCTTTTTATTAAAATGAATTTATTTTAATTGGAAGACTTTCAAAATATGATACTTAGATTATATGTATAAACAAAATGTATTCAAAATATTTATCTTTACCAGTTTTTACTTTATAACTATTTTTAAAAAGAAATTCTTAGCCAAAATTTTTTAAGTTTAAAGAACATAATTCAATCTCACTTTTGTGATTATTTATTTCCTTTATAATCACTTGAAAAGAAAGAGAAAATGTGTAATTGAAGGTATATTATTGGAACACATTTATTTGATTCATTTTATTAGAAAATTAAATTATGGATATTAGATTTTTAAATGTGGACTCAATCTAGAAGTGAAGAGAGTGATTGATTTTAAGTTTGAGTGATCTAGTTATTTAAAATATTTTAAATAATTTAGAGTTGAGATCTTTTTTATTGTATAATTTATAATTTGTTGCCAATTTACTGATATGAAATTTTATTATCTTAGACACCCATTAATTAAGTAAAATCCTATAATTAAATATAGCCAAAGAAAAGCCTATAATTAAAGGAATCAAATATGCAGAGACATGTGTTAAAAAGAGATAGAATTAAAGGAAACATAGGAAACAAAATCCTAACAATATTTATACTCATGATGTATCACGTAAATTATAAATTTTAAACTTACTACTTCTAATTTTGATTTATTTATATTTACCAATTAATATATGTTTTTTTATATAGTATCAAATTTAAATTTTAAAAAAATTTATTTTTAATTTTTTAATTTATTGATTCATTTAATTTTCTCATTAAATTTCATATATTTCACATGTGCTTTTTTCTAACTTCTTTTTGGCGTTTTCAGCCTTTTAAATTTTAATTTTTTTTAATTTACCAACTTTGAAATTTTCATAACATGAACAAATTCAAAGAAAATTTGAATGTTAAGTACAAAAGATTAAAACGTAACAAAGTTTTTATAAATAAATATAATTTAAAAATTCAAGCCATAAAAGTGAAATAAAATATTGAAAAAAATAATGTTGAATTTCACCCATAATTTTAAATGCACTCCCAATAATTTTCCTGCTTTATATTTATTAATAACTCTTACTAATCAGTGCCT